GATCAGATATATTTGTGAAGTTTTGGTGGAATTGCTTGACAGGTTCAGGTACTTACCATACAACTCCACAAGCTAATTTTAAATAATTGAAAAAATTATAAAGTCAGATTCATGAAACTTGGCAGTCGGATGTCTAATTATAGGTCAGACATGTCCGTGAAGTTTCTATAGAATGATTTCACAGGTTCGAGTAATTGCTACACAACAATGAAAGGTGCAGGGTATAATTCAATCGGTTTATACCGACTGAAACGTTTTTACTTGTTTTTTATGTAATTTGTCATTTTTATTTGTTTTGGTAAGAAAAATTTTAAACAATAATAAATTTCTGTTAATTCAATAGTATATCCAATAAAATTAATAGTATACGTAGCATTATTATTCAATACTATGTACTATAAATTCAATAGGATACATGATTTGTGCCTTATTTATTGTTTGCGCACAGTTTTAAATTAATAAGGAAAACTAATAAAAACAATAGTATGAATACTATTAAAGTAAATACTATTAAATTAATTGTACACAGTATTGAATCAATAGTGTGTACTACTAATTTAATAAGAACGTACCATTGAAACAATTCTCTTCATCTAATAAAAAATTAATAATTTGTACCGTTAAAATAATAGTATTATACTATTAATTTTATTAAAAAAATCCTATTGAATCAATAGTATACATTATTAAAATTAATAATGTGTACTATTGAAAATTAATAATTCCCGTCTTATTAATTTAATAGCACAAAAACCATTATTTGTCCTATAAAACTATTGTTTCAATTGGAAAATCCCATTGAAACACGTCCCATTGAATCAATGGTCGTACCATTGAAATTTAATGGAGTATAATTTTTTGAGTGAACATAAACTTGATCAATATCCTTTTCCACAACTTCAAAACCCAGTATAATTGAAATCTTTTGATTTACTTTGCTTGATTGATTGGTCTAGAATGTGTTTATTATTTTTTTTTGATAATCTTCAAAAAACCATAATGTTAACCCCACAACTCCCATTTTTGAAGTTGCTTTTAACTAAATTTTATTATTAATGTTTTATTAAATTACATTCTCTACGTATATTGCAAATATAACAAAATGTTCTGGCTTATTTTCGATTTCTTAATTTAAGAATAGAACCTTATTATTCTAATGTATATTCAAATAAATTTAGTAATACTTAGATTTCAGAGGTTTTTAGAAATGAAAATAGATTAAATCATTTACTCAAACAGGAAGAAAAATAAGGATCCTAAAATAGAGGAGAAATTTCAGCTTATCAGTTTTAAGTTAAGTCTACCAAGTAGACTTAACTTAAAAACGAAAAACATATAATAAAAAGAAAGGTATTCTTAGGCACTGCCCGGTGAAGTACCACCTGCATAGGCTGGGAAAGTCGGGCTCCCCCCTGTGCAGATTTTGTAGGGGTGGCGATGAGACCGCCGTGCACATTCTCCGCGACTGTCCGGTACTGGTTGTTCGGCGCCGCAATTGTCTTGGACATGGGTCCCTAAGTTTTCGGGAACTCTTGTCCAACTCCCTTAGGGATATATCCGGCTTTGTGATTGGGACGGGGATATTATAGACGGGAGAGTGGGGTGGCTACAATAAGTCAAAAATGGCTGCGGTAGCTTGGGGGGATGCTCCTGTCCCACTCGGTTCCCTTGGAATCTACAATCTACAAGATATTCTTAAGGATCTTCTATGTGTCGGTGCATTATCGATTTTTTATATGATTATAGTGAAAAGCACGTAGACTGGGGTTCTAAAATTAACTCAATCAAGTTTCATAAAATTTTTTGATTTTTGAAGATAGTTTTGATTTAAATTCAAATCAATTTTCTGTCAGAACCTTGGCGAGAACCAAGGATTGGGCAATTGATATTCTTACAAATTAAAATTTAGAGGCTGAACTATCGACTAAAGATTAATTAGATTAGGAAGTGAAAGGTTTTATTAAATTAATGCAAGGAACAGCCTTGAAAAACACTAGATTCTAGTCCAAACCTGTTTTTAGTAATTTTTCTAAAGCTATAGTATATAAGCATGAATGACGAGAGCCGCGTCATCCAGGTATTTAAGCGATTGTGAATAGACTTTATCAAATACTTAAAAGAAAAATTGGAAATTTTAAATCTGCATCATATGAAAGTTACATAAAGGTCATTAACGATTATTTTATCAATACAACCTCTGTTCTTAACGACCTCTGACCCTATTTTGTGTATTTGGGTGATTCCAACAGAAATATTTTTCATAACTTTGAACTAACCCCAACAGATACCGAGAAAGTGGAATTGACTATTGGCTCCTTAAGACCTGCAGCTGCTATGGGTTATGCTCGAAATTTATTAAGAAATTTTCTGGTAGATTACCGCCCATTATGCTAGAGCTTATTAACAAATCTTTTGAAACGTCTACTTCTCCTCAATCCCTAGACACTTCTGTCGTAACTCCGATTTTTAAATGTGGTAATGCCACAAATAGGTCTAATTACAAACCAATATCGGTATTAAGCGCATTTTCAAAATTATTTAAAGCAATTATAAAGAGACGAGTAAATACATTTTTTTTTAATGAATGGAATCTGATTACGTGAATTCTTCTTTACAAACTAGCGAAAATGAAAAAATTTTCTATGCGGCTTATAAATAACAGGCAAGAGAGCGTGAGAATTGGGAAAGAGACACCTCAGGGTACCATCAATATTACTTGACCTTTTCAAAATCTATTTCAACGACATTTCGTGTTTAAGTTTGAATGGGCAAATACAGCTTTGTGGCGACGATGTGATTTTTAAATATTTGGCAAAAAGTGAAAAGGAATCGATTGATCACATCAAAATTGATTTGGAGAACATTAGGTATGGGCTGGTAAAGCATCATCTTTTATACGGTGAAGAAATTTAACTACTTAGGCTAAACGATTGACAACAAAAGGGTTTTGATACGTTGTACATTTAATAAAAAAAATCATACATTTTTACATTCGTACATTCAGAAATTCGTACATTTTCATGCCAACACGAATAAGAAAACATTTGGACAGCAGTAGTTTAAATGTTATTTACACTTCTTTTATACTATCGAACATAACTTATTTGAACCCCATGAGCAGAAACTCTCAAGCAAATTTAGATAAAACGAGAAAAAATAGAGTTGACCTTGTCAACTCTGTGATACCCGCACGAATTTTTTATCCTATGTGCGAATAATGACACCATAACTGACTATGGGACAGACTATGACTTTAAGTTGCCATATTATCATATTAATTTATGCAAAATTTCAGTACTGTGTTTTTTAAAATACTGTGTGTGCCAAACTACTACTGAAGTTGTATGGTAGCTACTAGAAAGAGCCAAGAAACTTTATCAAGCACATTGGCCTTACCAATATATTCGCTTGTGTGAAATATCAATATTACAACTTTTATAGTTTCTGAGATATAGCCAAATAACTTTTGAAGTTCTACGACAGCTATGAGAAGGAGCCAAGCAGTTTCAACTACCTTTATCAAACACATTGGCCCTACTAATATATTCGCTTGTGTGGAATTTTAATACCATCGCTTTTATAGTTTCTGAGATATAGTCAAATAACTTTTGAAGTTGTATGGGAGGTACCAGAAGGAGCCAAGTAATTTCAACAACTTTTATGTGACACATTTGCCCTACTAATATATTCGTTTGTGTGAGATTTCAATACCATAGCTTTTATAGTTTCTGAGATATAGCCAAATTAATTTTGAAGTTGTATGACAGCTACCCGAACCGGTGCCCCGATCATATCCACTTTAAATAATGTTCTGGCACTCACCACAATAAATCATTTGTGAGAATTTGGTGATTTTAGCTGAATTACTTTTTGAGTTATCGTTGGGACGGACGGACGGACGGACGCACGGACAGACAAAGCTAAATCAACTCGAAATTCGACGCTGATCAAAAACATACACTTGAGTCTGTATCTAAGGCCGTTATTTCTTAGCGTTACAAACGGTAAATTTAGTGTACCCTTCGAACATACGTTCGTACGGGTATAATAAATATTTTACACAAAATATCTATTAAACTGATACGTTATTTTCCATTTAGACATGCGACATCCATGCTCTAAAATGAGAAGTACCTCAGTTTTTATAATATGTACTTATGAGTTATAGTTAACGGCTTTCAAAATAATCATAACATAATTTCATTTTAAATAGAAATATAGATATCCATCATCACAATACGTCATCATCCGTCCGTCCCTCCACCCGTCTGTCCGTGCGGCTTAGAAACTTATTTCTGTAGAACAGAATTTTCTCCTATCACCCCCTTTCTAAATGTTATACCCCCTAAAACCATAAAAACGGCATTTTTAACTATTTATTGCAGTGAAACAATAAGTATATCTGTTTAATATCAATTTATTAAAATCTATTAAAAATTGTCCAAAGATAGTTTTTAAATAAAGTAGCAAAAGTGTACTGATTATGAAAATTCAGTACACTTTTGCTACTGATCCATAATTTTTCTATCAGTGAAATTATGTACGAATAAAAAAAGCTGTTTTTTCCAGAAGTGTGTACTTCATTAACTTTAAGTAAAGGAGAAGTCTCTACAAAAATTTTTTTTCAGATTCGCAAATTTTTGTAAAAAACTCGTTTTAGGGTTAAGTGAAACTTAACACATAATACAAGCTCATAATGTAAAACTTTAATTTGAAGTTTTTCCTCATACAGCAGCTTTTCCTCACAGCATTTGGTTTTTACAATTAGTTCCAAAAAAATGTATACATATATGACAAGCGGTATGTGATTAATCCGTAATTATTGTGTAAATAACCATTTATTATAATGCCCCTTATTACAATTATAGTGAACGTTTCTCTTTCACCTTTTATAATTTTGAATATTTATTTGGGCATTTAGAATAATTACGATTTAAGCACTACCCCACATATGTGCAATGAAAACTCTAAACAGAATAGTTTATTATAACATTTTTAAGGTACAACAAAAGTGTCAAAAACTTTTCATCGAAAGAATATCCAAGGAATTTCCGGAAAACTTTTTTCTTCCACATCCTAAAGTTTCCTTAATTTTTGTAAAAGATTCAATATCTGTAAAAGAAGGAGGTCAATGTCAGTCAAAAGAGCAATTTATCATAATTACATCTACAACAATATTGCAGAAACTACCATCCCATTTTAATCTAGATGAAGTTGCTGTAAAATTTCCAATCAGCTATACTAATATTATGAATACGGTACTGGTTCATGAAATGGAGCGTTTTAACAATTTGCTGGTACATATTAGAAAAACATTGATTAAGTTGATGAATGCTGTTAAAGGTGAGTTTAAATTCAATTTTTTTAAATCGATTCATTCATTTTGAAAAATTTTTGAAATTCGTATTATTAATTGATATTAAATCACTTTTAATCTCTAACAGTTGTGACGCTCTTAAAGTAATTAAAATTTTATTTTTAAAAGTTTATAATAATTTGAAATCATTTTAATATATTTTTATAGTTTAATCTAGTAAATATTTCGTACCATGATAGAAAACTTAACACGTTAACAGTAACAGAGGCAAATGCTATACAAGGTATGCGTGCTATTGCGTATATTTATGTGGTCTACCTTTTATACCACTAATGAGTTTATTTAAAATTTTCAGTGTTCTATAGCTAGAAGTAAAAATTCGGAGTTTTTAAAAAATTTAAGAGATGTAGAATGTTCCGAAATAACTGAAATTTTTATATTGGTGTTATTTTTTAGCTATAAATATTACCAAAGCACACGATATTTATTTAATATCACAAACTAAGTTAGAGTGACAGTAACTACACCCCAAGGCAATACAACTCCAATACTGTTTCTGGACCTTCAAATCATACAAATGAATTTTCATAAATTAAAATCTAAGTTACAATACATATCGGATTTCTCATTCATTTTCCTGTTTTCATTTTTATGTTTTTGTTAATGTAGTCTTGCTGTGGTACAATGAAAAAATTTGATCCTAGACGAAATGCGGAAAATGAGGAGTCTTCAGAAAAAAAGGGGAATATTGAATAATTCTAAAAATTTAACGCATTACATATCTCGCTAATTTAAAAACTTTATACTAGAAGAATTTATTAATAATAATAAAACTAGTAATAATAAAAATAATAATAACAATAATAACGATAATCATAAAAATAATAATAATAATAACAAATAATAATAATATTAATAATAATAATTAATATAATACTAATAACAATAATAGTAATAATGATAATAAAAAAAGTTTATAATAATAATAATAATAAATAATAATATTAATAATAATAATAATTAATATAATAATAACAATAATAATATAAAAATCATAATAACAATAACAAAAATCTGATGTGGTCAGCACATAACCGACCGCATTGTGTATTGTCTATTTAAATGAAAGTGTTAAAGAATATTATAGAAATGTCTGTTAAATACTTCTTTCCAATTTTTAGGACATTAGTAAGCTTCTAGTTAACATTCCCAGAAAAATGTAAATTTGGCTCTTAGTAGAGATTTGCTTTGTGCTACCCGAATTCCCTGAAATGCTCGCCAGTTAGTTTCGGTAACAACCAGAACTCAAATATCAAATTTCAAGAAATTCCATAAATTTGTTCTGTGGATATGGTGAAAAATGTAAAATCGGCCCGCAAATCCGTTTTCGAGCCCTGATCTTTCCAAAAAATTTATATGTTCATTGTTTTAATACGAGGAGTTCATATATTAAATTTCAATGAAATCGGTTGATTATTTCTCTTTATATACACAAAAATGTATATTTGGCCCGTAGTAAACGTCCAGTTGCCGATGCCTGATTTCTTCCAAAACATACGAATTTTTGCGGACGGTCGAGCTGAGCTTATGTATAAAATTTCAACTAAATCGGTTGAATATTTTCTTCAAAATGTTCAAAAATGTAAAACAGGCCCGCTAAAAAGTGCAGTTCCCGAGGCCTAATATATATCAAAAGTTGATCGATCCTTGTTATGGTGGAAACAAACTTACATATAAAATTTCATCAAAATCGGTTCAGCCGAACTTGAGATACACGCGTGCACACACAGACCGACAGACCGATAGACGGACAGACCGACAGACCGACAGACCGACAGACCGATAGACCGACAGACCGACAGGTTGCTAAAAATAGTTTATTTACACTTCCCTACTATGGAGAAGTACGCTCCCACCGAAAACTCGATATGCAAAATTTGTTGCCATCACATAACGTACCTATTGTTTACACAATACGGTCGGTAATAATAGTAATAACAATAATATTAATAATAATAATAATAATAATAATAATAATAATAATAATAATAATAATAATAATAATAATAGTAATAAATAATAATATTAATAATAATAATTAATGATATACTAACAATAATAATAAAAATAATAATAATATTAATAATAATAATAATAGTAACAATAACCAGTACCCCGATCATATATAATTTAAATAGGGTTCTGGCAGTTACTACAATAAATCATTTGAGAAAATGTGGTGAACTATTAGTTTTGGAGTTATCATTCTGACGGACAGACAAAGCCAAATCAACTAAGAATTGGACGCTGATCAAAAACATACACTTGAGTCTGTATCTAAGACCGTTATTTCTTAGCGTTACAAACGGTTAGGCAAATTTAGTATACTTTTGGAACATGTGTCCGTTCGGGTATAATAATTATAATAAGTAACGAAAAAAATAGAGTTGACTTTATCAACTCTGTGATACCCGTACCAATTTGTTATCATTTGTACGAATAAAGACACCATTACTGACTATGGGACAGACCATGACTTTAAGTTGCCGTATTACTATATTAATTTATGGAAAGTTTCAGTACTGTGTTTTTAAAAATACTTTGTGTGCCAAACTATTATTGAAGTTGTATGGCAGCTACCAGAAAGAGCCAAGAAATTTTAACGAATTTTATCAAGCACATCGGCCCTACTATTATATTCGCTTCTGTGAAATATCAATTTCAACTTTTATAGTTTCGAAGATATAGCCAAATAACTTTGGAAATTGTACGACAGCTACCAGGAGGAGGCAAGCGATTTCAACGATTTTTATCAAACACATTTGCCCTACTTATATGTTCGCTTGGGTGAAATTTCAATACCACATCTTATATAACTTCTGAGATATAGTCAAACAACTTTTAAAGTTGTATAGCAGGTACCAGAAAGAGCCAAGCAATTTCATTGACTTGTATCGTACTCATTAGCCTCACTAATGTATTCGTGTGTGTGAAACTTCAATACCACAGCTTTTATAATTTCTGAGATATAGTCAAATAACTTTTGAAGTTGTATGGCAGGTACCAGAAGGAGCAAAGTAATTTCAACAAGTTTTATGTGACACATTGGCCCTACTAATATATTCTTTTGTGTGAAATTTCAATACCACGGCTTTTATAGTTTCAGAGATATAGCCAAATTAATTTTGAAGTTGTATGACAGCTACCCGAACCGACGACCCGATCATATCCAATTTAAATAGGGTTCTGGCACTTACCACAATAAATAATTTGTGAGAATTTGGTGATTTTAGCTGAATTAGTTTTTGAGTTATCAGACGGACTGACGAACGCCGGACCGTATATCTAAGACCGTTATTTCTTAACAAATTTATTATACCCTTCGAACATACGTTCGTACGGGTATAATAATATTAATAATTATAATAATATTAATAACAATAATAAAATTAATAGTAATAATAATAACAATAACGATAATAATAATAATTATAACAATAATAATAATAATGATAATAATTATAATAATAATATCGAAAATAGTAAAATTAATAATAATAATAATAACAATAATAACAATAATAATAGTAGTAATTATAATTCATTGTTTTAGTACGAAGAATTTAAATATTAAATTTCAATAAAAATCGGTTGATTATTTCTCTTATATACGCAAAAATGTATATTTGGCCCGTAGTAAACGTTCAGTTGCTGACACCTGATTTCTTCCAAAACTAAGGTGGTTTCGCGGATGGTCGAGCAAAGTTTATATATGAAATTTCAAGTAAATCAGTTGAATATTTTCTTCAAAATGGTCAAAAATGTAAAACAGGCCCTGAGGCCTGATTTATATCTTACAAAACTAAACATATAACATATAAACATATAACATGTAAACTTACATATAAATAATTTCATTAAAATCGGTTCATCCGAACTTGAGATACACGCGTACGCACACAGGCCGACTAACCGACAGATTGCTTAAAGTAGTTTGTTTATACTTCCCTACCATGGAGAAGTGCATTGCCACCGAAAACTCGCTCTGCAAAATTTGTTGCCATCACATAACCTACCTAGTATATTCATAGTACGGTCGGTTAAATGCGACCGTCGATAATTGCAAATAATAGGGTTGCAAAAAGGTTTTATTTGACCAAAATGTGTGTATAATTTAAAGCCGCCTGGCAACGAATTTATATGTAAAAAGATATTTTGTAACACTTTTTTTGTAATAAAAATTGCGCCAATGGTCAAATAAAGTGTTTACTATAATAAAAATGTTTAGAAAAATATATTAAAGTGCGAATAATAAATAACTAGTCGTGTTTGCTTGCATTGAAAGCCTTGCAAGTATAATGCCTGTAGTTTTGAAATTGTGTTCCATTCTGTGTGTGATTTATTTTGAGTTTACTTTTTTCTTCTTCAAAAGCACACCCGTAACATACATATAAATATGTTTTTTTCCTATTAATTTATAAGATAAAACTTAAAAAAACGAAAGCTCTTAAAATTAATTACGAAAAAGTACATAATTAAACAAATAATTAGTTCCTTTCAGATCTAATGTCTTTTAGTAATTTATATTAGAACCTCGCATTGAGTTATGTCGCATAAAATCGTAAAATACCTTTTACAATAAACACTTTAAGCGATAAATTACTGTATACGCATGAAATAACTTGCTACTAAAATTCATCCATGTATGTATTTGGAGTTTATAATACATGCGAATAAAGCGAATGACTGTAGAATGAGTTAACACCAATACTAACGTATATAGGGTAATACGTAGAGCATACGATTTCTATGCAACAAGTCTCTGGTTCGAACCCTCAAAAATGCGATTTGCCAGATGAACTTTTTTTTATTGATAATTTTATTTTTTTTAAATGAAATTACAAAAGCTTCACCCTTACAAATCAATATCAGCGATTTTCCGATACCCTGCTTGTAAAAAGTTTAATGCAATAGAGTAACATTTTCTTATAAAATTTTACCCTAAAAATATCTTGTCAAGAAGTTTAATGTAAACTTATGTTTTGCTTTTTAATACATAGTGCAACACATCGCGGAAAGAATGCATAACTAAATGCGTACCTACATACTTATTATAAAACAATGTAGATTTTATTAAAACATTACAA